TGCACATACCACACGATAAAGTCTTCACAAATTTTGCATGGCATGAAGTTGGATGGTCCATGATATTTACATAAACCTAGTTACAATAATATCCAACAGTTATATGATCATCATGCAAATGTGCATGATTTTCCTACAATGTTAGGAAGTTTGGATTGCACCTATTGAGAATGGTGAAATTGCATAAATGCACATCATTGTCAACATGCTCGATGATGGTGTGCCTAGCACAGCACAGCAGAGCTGCGTCCAAGCCCTAGAGTTGGGCACACCAGCCAGGCCCAGCCCAACAGGCTCAGCGCCCACTGGCACCCCCAGGAGCGAAACGCCCAGGCGGGAGGCTCGCGCCCGCCAAGTGACGCTCCTTGCTCCAAGACAAAAGGTACGGTCAGGAGACAAACAGTAGGATCGGAGCATTACCATCAAAGCCAATGAGAGCGCTCTAGCGGTTGAGGGTGCACACCCCTCCAATCAGCGCCTCTGATCTTGTCTCCCCAAAAAGCGATTATGTCTGGTACGGACCAGGCAGGAGCGTTAGGTATAAAAGGATGCACTCTCAGATCAGCGAGGTAAGTTCTCCGACCCTTCTAGAGAACGCATAAATAAACCCTAAATCATCCACTAACTTGACCGTCGGAGCGTTCTTCCGGGAGTCCCTCCCGAAAAGCGGCTGACGGCCCTTGTTCTCTGTGATCTTGCAGTGGTAATCCAACAACCAAGAAGAGTTCATCCATGAAACAGAAGCAGGGTCTTACGAGGGACAAGGTTCCATCATTTGGCGCCATCCGTTTTTGATACGAAGAACACAAGCAAAAAGCACGAAAACAAACATCAATGGCGTCCAACGGTAGCGACGGACAACCAACTAGTCTCATACGTCCCATGACGACGTTAGACGAAACACCACCGCCTACAGCGACCAACAGGGCCGTTTTAGGCGAAGGAAATTCTACAACAGCCTCCGGAAACGTTTCACAACCGTCACTTCCTCAGCAAGGAACAACTCCGGTGGAACTACTTCCGTCTACACAGCTTCAGACGCCGTCGTTCTTCACGCCGCCGCTGCAACAGGCACGAGCGATCCACTCGACAACACCCCCCGTCGAGCCACATTTTCAACATTTCATCGTCATTTGCATCACCATCGCCATTTCAGATGACGGGTAGACAGAGTTCCACAACCCGATTACCACCATTGGCGCAAACCATGATGAACCACTCACCACCCATTTACCCGACGACCGGTACATGGACAGGACCAACTATCCATGCCAACAACAGCCTGCAACAGCCAGTAATGATCAACCCCGCTACATCCATACACCCTTTCTCTACTAGTTATCCCCTCCAGTTACCATTCCAGCCATACCCCCTTTTATGGACCAAGTCCGGGCTACCTCACGTCACCGCTGCATGATATGAACTCCCAATACCAGTAGGGGACGTCGACTATCCTATGCCAGGATGGTGGGTACACACGAAGGGGCCAGGGTCTTGACAGGCAAGGTGTTACGAATGGGGGTATACTAGCCAACGATACCGCAGGATGCGATAGAAGTAACCAGGAAATGTGGGAAGTGTCAATCTTACGCCCCAGTCCAAGCGAACCCCCGACCCCGCTAAGCAACATATCCAGCCCATGGCCTTTCTACCAGTGGGGCATAGATATAGTGGGTCCATTCATAGAAGCACTAGGAAAACTAAAGTATATGGTGGTAGTTGTGGACTACTTTACAAAGTGGATTGAAGCTGAGCCTCTAGCGTGTATATCTGGGAGGCACATGATAAAATTCGTATGGAAAACATCATGACAAGATTCGGAACACCTAAGGTTCTTATCAGTGACAATGGCTTGCAGTTTGCTGAGAACCCATTCAGAGAATGGTGATGGTGCACCGCTAAAGGGATAAGCCAACGCTTCACATCGGTGGCACACCCTCAAGCGAATGGCCAAACGGAGGTGTGCAACCGAACCATTGTCAAGGGGATTAAGAAGAGTTTGAGCAAAGCAAATGGGAATTGGGCAGAAGAGATACCAATGGTGCTATGGTCATACAAAACTACAACACGGAAAAGAAAAAAAGAAACCCCTTTCAGCTTGACGTATGGAACCGAAGCCATGCTTCCCATGGAGGTGGTAATGAACACACTAAGGGTGACCAACAAGGGTGAGGAAAGCAACATAAAAGATTTGAGGATAAACCTAGATATCCTAGAGGAGAAGCGTGAAGAATCGAGTGTACGCCAAGACGCATATAAACATGCAACTGAAAGATATTACAACCAAAGGGTAAAGGAGAAGGCCTTCAAAGTCGGCGAATATGTTTTAAGGAAAAACGAGGCATGCTGAGCCCAACCTCAAGGAAAGTTGAGCCCAACATGGGAAGGCCCATACAGAGTCACGGAGGCAAATGGGAACGGTGCATACGTGTTGGAGACAATGGAAGGAAGGCCCATTCCAAGAACATGGAATGCTAGGAACTTGAAGAAATATTTTTTCTAAGGCAAGGAAAGGAAGGAAAGGGAGGCAACCCCAGTTGACTAACGTCTCAGTGAGTGTATCGCACCCCAAATACTTAGAGTATATGTGTTCATGCTAAATGACATGAACTTGATACTTAGTGTATTTAAAATTACATGCTAAGAGACATGAGTTCAATACTTAGTGTATATATAATTCCATGCCAAGAGACATGAGTTCAATACTTAGTGTATTTAAAATTCCATGCTAAGAGACATGAGTTCAATATTTAGTGTATATATAATTCCATGCTAAGAGACATGATTCCAATACTTAGTGTATTTAAAAATACCATGCTACGCGTCATGAGCTCAACACTTAGTATACTAAAAAAAAACCGCAGTTAATGAAATAATAATGCTATTGCTGATTTTTATATACTTAGCATACTAGTCTAATGATTGAATGATTACATGCGAAATCCAATCATGGATGCTAAGTGCGTCCAACATGGACACTTAGTGTGTCAATGGTAGCAAGGGCAAAGCAAAGTGCCCGGCGCATCAGGGGCGCTGTATATCCTGAATAGTGCGCAGTAAACGAGCAAGCCAAACACAAAACAAAACAAGCAGACAATAGATAATGCCTAAAACAGGCCAAATATACATCCAGGAAAGCGAAATACTATTTTAGAAGTTCAAACATTACAAGGCAAAACATCATATACTAAACTAATAGAAAGAGAGAAATCTTACGACGCCAAACCATCCCCACGAACATCTTTCTCACTTGCCACATCCTCCCCCCCCCCCCCCAACACTCTTTCCATCATTTTCCCCAACCGCCCCACCATCGCTTTCTCCATCATCAACAGTTGCCTTACTAACGTTGCCATCGCCAACACTCGCCCCAAAAGTATGCTCACCATCACCACCAGACCCATGATCCTTACCATCACCTTCCATGTCAGCACTCGTCACCAACACCATCTCATGACCCACAATACTCTCAGGCGTACCCTCTGAACCACCAAAGGAGCATAACTCCCGCAAATCCTCAATACCCACTTCCCCCAAACCTAACAGACTTGCATGATCCATACTAGCGAAGGACAAAAGAGCATCATTTATACTAACAGATGATGCACCAATAACCGCTTCCCCACCCGCTACCACCACCACCTGAAGTCTTATGAACAGACTCAACCCCAGCCATGTACACAGCATGGCAGATAAGACTGATGGCGTTGGTAAAGTCAGGGTGCTCTATTAGTTTATCGACAATACGAACAACGCCGACGTGTAACAACCAATCCAAGTCTCGCCGAGCAGCGTCCACATTTGAATGCAATGATGATACAAGCTTGTCGCGATCGATAGCATCGCGCTCAAGACTTTCAACCTGGATCATTAAACCTTCATTCATTTGTGTGAGAGAGTCAACATTAGTTTCCAATGCAGACCTAGCCTCGTCGAGAATGTTCTTCTCGGATGCTAACAACTCACATTTCTTCTCAGAAGAACGAAGATCATCACCAAGCTCACTTAGACGATGCTCCAAACTAGCCACACGCGATCCACAGGTGGCATGTGTGGCCTCCACCTCGCCAAGGGTATGGATGAGCCGGGAACCTGCAACAAGATAAAACATGACCTGTGCAGCGATGTAAGCCATATTATGAGCAAGGGCAGGATGACCCATCGCCTCCATATCCCCAACTGCAGCTGGAGGGAAGGCGTGGCGTGAGAATTCCAAAGCATTGGCACGCACAGAAAGACGAGAATCATTGCGAAGATCCCAAGATGGTACGAAAATTGTAGACCCAGAAACATCATCACCAGGGCCACCATCTTTGGAAACTGTAACCGGCCCATTGGGGACAAAGCCTTTCACCAGAGAAAGCTTGGAGGGAACAAACGGAATAGTCAGAGAAGGAATAGAAGAAAAATCTGAAATAACAGGCTGTTCAATCGCCCTGTTGATTCCCTCAGACTGTTGCACATCATCATTGGGAATCACAACCACCTCAGTGGATGTGGAACTCACTGGTGTGGAGCTCATCGAACTCAGCAGGCGAGAAAAGTTGCGCCTAGCATGCACTCTCTTGGTGGCAGGGGGAGCACCAGTAACAGGCTCGCCCATGGCTTTCATAGCTTTTCATTTCGCCTGCATCCGCCGAACATCAACAATGATACCTTCTTTGCTATCTTCAATGTCTTCCAGGGAGGAAGAGGGAATGTTGCCCATGGCATGACAGAGGAGATGGGGCGAGCGTGCAGCAATTCCTCCTTAGATGACGATGAGCTTACTGGAGGAACAGGAGGAGCAATGGTCAAAGCAAGCCGGTCTGCCCAACGAGGAGGGGGAAGGCCGTCGACCAGGTCTACCTCACGAAACTCCAGTTTACCCCGATAGTGCTTACGCAGCACCTCGTCCATAGACAAAGAAGACTCAGTGCCTGGGGGAAAGCAGAATGGAAATATTAAAAACACGGAAGCAACAAGGAGAAACAAGAAAAGAAAAGGTGGAAGATACGACACTAATCATCAACAACAGAGAAGAACACCGCCATATTGCCACGCCGCCTCCAAGAAGGACTCATCCCCACCTCGGAAAGAATCGCCTCAGAGTAATCCTCGGCGGATACCTGCACACTCCTCCGATAGTCGGCAACAACCTGGTTGTAGGGGAAAGGCTTAGGAATGGTATCAACGAATGCATTGGCACGGTAGTGGCCACTCCCAACCAGCTCCTGATTCACCCATAACCACTTATCCTGCCAGTTCTTGGGGGTACGCCCATCGGGAACTAAGGCGTGTCCCCCTCGCCGGACTGAGAAGGTGCATTTATCTCTAGTAATGCAGAATTGAAAGAAGAACTTGAAGACAAAGTAGTCGGGAAGGTACCCGTTTTCCCTACAGATCATCTCGAAGGCAACTACTTTGTTGACAACATTGGGGGTTAACATCTGAAGACTACAACCATCCTTTTGAAGGACTTCCTCCTGAAAGTCTGTCAAGGGAAATCGTATACCGACGTCCAAGGTTTTCAGGAAAACCCCAATTTTGTCGGGGGGAGGGGAAGAGATGCTAGAGCTAAGAGAGGGAAATTCCACACCTTCTAAGGAGGATAAGCCATACGTGGTCTCCAATTGTCGATACTCGGCAGCAGAAGGGACGATTCCGGGAAGGTTAGCCATGAAAGGGAAAGAAGGATGAGCACGAAGAGAAAGGGAGGAACAGATGAAGCTAAAGAAACTGGAGAAATACCCTCTTAGAGAAGGATCAGAAACGGGACATTTAAATATCTGAAATAATGACGTAACTACCAGCAGTCACGTGTAATCATGTCGCCATTAAAAACGGAGTGGCGGATAGAGGAAAACGAACACGCGTCAATCAGTTAAGTCCAGAACGTCGTACCTAGAACTGCAACGCTACGACTACTAGACTGGGGGACTTGATGGTGTGCCTAGGGCAGCACAGCAGAGCCATTTCCAAGCCCTCGAGTCGAGCACACCAACCAGGCCCAGCCCAGCAGGCTCAGCGCCCACTGGCGCCCCCGGGAGCGAAACGCCCAGGCGGGAGGCTCGCGCCCGCCAAGTGACACTCCTTGCTCCAAGACAAAAGGTACAGTCAGGAGACAAACAGAAGGATCAGAGCATTACCGTCAGAGTCAATGAGAGTGCTCTAGCGGTTGAGGGCGCACGACCCTCCAATCAGCGCCTCTGATCCTGTTTCCCCAAAAAGCAATCTTGTCTGGTACAGACAAAGCAGAAGCGATAGGTATAAAAGGATGCATTCTCATACCAGCAAGGTAAGTTCTTCGGCCCTTCTAGAGAACGTATACACAAACCCTAAATCATCCACTAACTTGACCGTCGGAGCGTTCTTCCGGGAGTCCCTCCCGGAAAGCGGCTGACGACCCTTGCTCTCTGTGATCTTGCAGTGGTAATCCAGCAACCAAGAAGAGTTCATCCATGAAGCAGAAGCAGGGTCTTACGAGGGACAAGGTTCCATCACTCGAGTTGGTCATGGTTATCCAACGATCATACTTAAAGCTATAAATATGGCATGCCTTCTTAGGTGCTCCCCATCCACTAAATGATATTAATGTTCTTAACATGTTTCCGATATTCAATGACATGTATAATTGGACTACATCAGATTCTTCGTTGTACGTAGTGCACAAAACATCTTACAAGTACGTGTATTTTCTCGTGGAAAAGATCTACCCCAAGCATTTTGTCTTTGTTAAAACATTTGTTCTAACGATCAAAACATGTTGAAGTTTAAGAGAGTTCAAGAAAAGGCAGAAAAAGATGTTGAACGAGTGTTTGAAGCTCTTAAAAAACATTGACATATAACGCAAGATTGTAAATATCTTTCGGCGGTCTACTGGAAGCGATTAATCGGACTAGGCGGGGAATAATCGGTGACCATAAATTATTAAAAAAAATTAATGTCCTTAAAAAATATTTTTAATATAATATTTTAAAGTTTGAAAACTTAAAATTTTGGTCTAATATTTGAAAATAAATTTTTAGAATTTTTTTAAATATTTTCCGCCTATGACCGGCGAGACCGCCAAGGACCGCCACGCCCGAGTATGACAAATTTTGACCAATTTTCGCTAAGCACCCTAATTGTAATCGATTTAAGGCCATCAAACGATTAATCGTCGATTAATCGGCCACAAAGGTCAATTTCCGCAACACTTATATAATGAAATACCTTGTAATTTTTAATGTGGATAAAAAGATGAGTGAGGTGATGTATACTTGTATCATATTCTATAATATGACTCTAAAAGAAGGAGGAAATTAGATATGAGAGTATGACGAAAACAAAATTGTTCTATGGGCACAACCAGTAGAAGTTAAAAGTAAAAAGTACTTGGAAATAAGATGATTATTTATAATGCTGAGATCTATCATCATCTTCGTTGATTTAACATATTTGGAGGTTAACTACATTGATCTTCATGTGAAATCCATTGATGATTTAGAATGCCAATTACTAGATAATTGCTTCATTTGTAGTAGCTATGAGGTTTTTAGCTTTTAATTTTTTAAGTTTGAAAGATTTTAAGTTTTTAATTCATTTATATCTATTTTTTTGTTTTTTTTTTGTAATGGAAAATGTTTAAAAATATTAAATTTGTTTTATGAAAAATGTGGCAAACCATCCATAAATGACAATAAGTTAAAATGAGGTTACATCTGTGTTGAAGAAAAAAAATAAATAAATAAATAAAAATTAAAAAAAAAACAGTGTGTAATAAAAGTGACATCACTCTTTCTATCTTAAATCGTTTTATAATTGTTTTTTAAAATAAATATAATCTACTCCAACAAGAAATAAGAGGTGATATTGTTGGGCTATAAACCCTTTGATATATGTTAAGTAAATTATAAATGGTTTATTTAGTTAATTATTGCTACATTTAAAATAATTTATCGTCTTGAAGTCGATCTTGCATGAAAACTCTATCTTGGTTTAAAAATTAATCTAGACGACTAGTATTAAACGGTTGAGATGTACCATAGGCCAATGGACATAATATATTAAACTAAAAATACATCTTCTCGTATTTGAGCATTATAAGACCTGTTCTATAATTTAATAAAATATGTTCATAGCCTATGGGGCATTAATTAGTTTAATGTTAGTTGTTTAGAAGTATTTTATTATTAAACCAAGATGGAATTCTAAAGCGAGATCGATTTCACGATAATATATTCTCTTAAACACGACACTATAAATAATTGAAATAATCATGATTAGATTATTTTTCACTTAATCGACATATAATAGAATCATAACTAAAACAACCATCTATTATTATAATTGAATAGTATATCATTTACTTAACATAGCTATAAGAAATTGTTTTAAAAGCAATAATTACAACGGTAATAATTAGGCTAATTGTGAAGTGATCCTCTCTAATAAATAAATGTTTTTTTGTCACTTGTCAATCTCTTATGAGTTTTGATACTTGTTATTTTATGATATTTTTGAAAAAAAAAAATATTATCCACTTATCAATTTCTGATTTGTTTAATTTTTAAAATTAAAATCATAATTTATATATGTAAAGTATTAAATATAATATATATGAAATTAAATTGCAATGAATATGTTTATTTGTTTCTTATTTTAAAGTTTTACATTAAAAAATATTCACTGTTTATATTTTAATGTTTAATTTTTTTTAAAATTAACCCGTATAATATACGGGTCTTACAACTAGTTCGTATATAAATACACAAAAATTTATGTTTTAGACACGAAAATCTAGCATCAAATACTCAAGAAAAGATAATTGATATATGTTTTTAAAGCAAACAAATGCATTGCCTTAGCGAGAGACGATAAATGTTGATCATGCATCTTATTATAAACTAAAAAAACATCGTGCGTACAAAACCTACAAGTTGTTATCAATATATGGTATCTACTAAAGCCCCGTTTGATAATTGCTGACTGAGAAAGTATCGACTGAGAAATGTTTGTCTCACTAAGAAATTATGACTGAGTAAGAAACCATGTTATTTGATTATACATCTGATTGAATGTGCTAACCGATGCAAAATGATCATTTTATCCTGATACTCTATATGATGCTTTATACGTTTCTATGCAATAATAATAATAATAATAATAATAATAATAATAATAATAAGTGTTATACAATATATAAAATGTTTGAGCACCTATAACAAAAAAAAGCTTCTAGTTTGGTGGTAAATATGTTTGAAAAGCAGGGTTATTTATTTAGGAGTTCAAGAAAGGTTTAGTTTTTTTAGTAGTGAGATTTTTGGCTTTGTTTAAAGGGACAACAAAGAAAGTATCTATCAGTTGTGTTTTATTTGAAGTGTGGGTTAGTGTAAGTTACAAACCGTTTTCTCTTTGAACCGAAGAATCCTTTTTGAATGACATTTTTTTGGGAAAATGACTCTTAAAGGTAATTAACTTTTGCGATTGTACTCATTTGGTTCATTTCCTTTTTTTGTATTCAATATACCATCGAACTTGTTGTTTGTGTTTACCATAATCCTTTTGACCGGATTTTGACCTGTGATAGCCAGTCAAAGGGTTACGGTGAACGTAAACAACAACTTCGATGGTATATTGAGTACAAAAAAAGGAAAGGGACCAAATGAGAACAAATGTAACCGTTGGTTACCCTCATGATTCATTTTCCCTTTACTCATTTACAACAAATTTCACGTCATCTCCTACCGATATTAATAACTTTATGAGGTTCGTTCTTGCTTCTCTTCAAAACATAACCCACGAAAGAACATTATTCATACATGTACAACTTTGTAATGCACTTGAATATTTATTAGGGGAATCTTGACTAAGCAGACGCATTTCATGACTACATTTACATTTTCAATCAAATGATTTATTGTATCATGTATTCTGGACAAGTTTACAAACGAGTGGAATCATAAGTGCTGTGATTTTTGAGTTTAGTTAGCTTTAACATCGAATTCATGTGATAAGATACAACATCAATATGTACAATATCATGATGCTTTTGTAGACATATCACCATAATATACCTTGAGGTAAACGTTTATGCTGATAAATATACCTCTCAGATACAGTAATATCCTTTTACAAAGAGGTGTTGACAACTAACCACAGTAAGCATGGCATAGACCATGTTTTAACGAAGTTACGCCTCTGAAACGCTCTTCATACACGTTATAGCCAAAGATTGCAACCTTCTTTGGTATATGTTATGCTTACTATGGTTACAGAAAAAGGATATGATTGTATATGAAAGGTATATTTATCAACATAAACGTTTACCTCAAGGTATATTATGGTGATGTGTCTACAAAAACATCATGATATTGTACATATTGATGTTGTATCTTATCCCATGAATTCGATCTTAAAGCTAAATAAACTTAAAAATCACAACACTTGTGATTCTACTCGTTTGTAAACTTGTCTAGAGTACATAATACGATAAATCATTTGATTGAAAATGTAAATGTAGTCATGAAATGCGTCTACTTAGTCAAGATTTCCCTAATAAATATTCAAGTGCATTACAAAGTTGTACATGTATAATGTTCTTTCGTGGGTTATGTTTTGAAGAGAAGCAAGAACGAATCTCATAAAGTCATTAATATCAGCAGGAGATGACGTGAAATTTGTTGTAAATGAGTAAAGG